TTTAATGAGTTTATTCAAGGTACCTCTGGAGGCCAAAATTCTACTATGTCCTTAAGGACACTTGAGTTTCTCTGCCTCCACAGGAACTCACATAAATACGAATCTAACATTGATGAGTGAACTATTCTAACCGCAATTACACAAGCAATACTAAATTAAATAATATTTAAATATGTGATTTTATTTCTATATCAATGGTATCAAGTTTCATAACAACTGTTACTAAATATCATTAAAAAAAAATAGCGAGCCTAATCTAAACAAGACCCGTATTTTATTTTGTAATTAAAATAGCTTATTAAAAGTAAATTGACAAGTGCTATTTTTTTTAATTTCTATATATCAGACTGATGTACATATTTCTTGAACTTTGTTAATATTCTTTGGTGGCTTTGGTCCCAGAATAAAGTTATTTTTACCACTAAGTTGTTACGACTACATGTTCAACTCAACACGTCGGTAGATCTAAGGTATAGCCTTCGCAATTCGTGATGGGCGAAATATTATTTCCTATTTTGTAATATAACATTTTTTTTATTCAATTTTCCTTCATTATACGGGCCACCAATTTCCTTATTCATGATGCTACAGATATTAGACAGAGGTATATAATGGTTCCAAACAGGACATGCTATTAGGTTGTTAGCGAGGAACCGGCAACATACCGAAGAGAAATTGCAATCCGCGGTCACGAAAACTTCTAAAAATAATATAGCGTGCCGGTAACCGGTAACCGACCGCTCTGGTCACCGGTAACTGATATTTACCGCTCGTCAGTCTCCTGTAGTTAGCCCGATAAAATAGATAATGGGGCTTTAATTAGTGATTCAGATCATCTAGGTTGGTGATATTGGTGTAGGGAAACACCGAGTTCTAAATAATACTAACCGTTCAGATGGGTAAAGTGCCAACACTTTTTTTTTTTTTTAGAAATTGGATCCCTAATTTCTTATCATTATTTCTTTTTTTCAGTTTATGTTTCTATTTAAGTAAAACATGAAAACAATGATAAAGATAATACCATTGTAGCTGCGTTCCGAATCGGAACTGATTGTGAAATTGTTGAATTACTTTAGATTTTTCTGATAACAGTTTTATTTATTCCATTAATTTTATATACTAGAGTTGGATATGGTGTTTAGGCATCACCTTAGCAACATCGATTCAAACGGCGCCGCACTGTGGGACGAGTATGGGAAAACTCGCTAAATCTATTTCAATCTGTCTAAATCAGTTTTTTATTTTTCTATTATCTATTAACTCCTAAAACCAGGTAAACTGTTTTATTGATACCTTGAGTTTCCGAGAATATTTTCAGTTGCCATGATATACATTTCTCACTGTTCTAACTAATAGTTCAATTGAAAAAAAAAAAATTATTTAGCCGATGTCGCGAGTTTTCCCATACTCGTCCCACTGTGCGCCGGTTCGAATCTGGCCTCGACAGGATAAAATTTATTTCGTGGTGAACCAAGGGATCTCGACCTTTCCACTCTGGCAAGAATAGGTTGGTAATTTGTGTAGAGGATAAGAAATAAGTTTGTTTATTTTTGCTTTATAAAATTCGAACTGAAGATTCCAAATATCTTTTTACCTTTAACATTGGTTTTTGCAACGATGTAATCCATAATAAGAAATCGATGATGTTCGAATTCTCTTGAAAAAATTAGAAATGCTCAACGCCTATGATAGAAAGAACGCATTTTGTCCTATTCCTTTTCACAGTGGTCCTGTGGACTGAAGTACTGTAGGTAAATTTTATATCTAACCAGGAGTAATATTCAAGGTTGTTATTAAATAATAAATTATAACAATATAAAGGAAGAATTTTGTATATAGAGTTTCTTGAAAGTATGCCAAAAAAATTATATCATCCTTCTGGGGTAAATACTCTTATTACCCGTGTTTTTCGCTCACATATTCAACATTTTGGGGATCTGCCCTTTCTTTAAGAATATTATATTTTCCATTGTTCCCAAATATTGTCCTATATATATCATTACTTTTTTCTGTTTCAATTTTCTTATAACTTTTTCATCTGCTCTATTTAGGATCTTTCTGATCTTACATTGTTATGTTATCTATAATCCTCGATATAGTCAGGGTATGCACACTTTTAAGAAACTAAATTATAATATTTTATCTTCCCCAAATTCTTTATTTCGGAGCGGTTGGCTTGATCAAATAATAATTTAACGTGGCTTTTCTCTTTTGAACTTCAATAATATACAATATTATGATTATAAAAGAATTTAGTGTTATACTCTTTATAATTTTTAAAGCTTATTTACTTCAAGCACGATGTGTAGTTTTCTCTAAAATTTAGTGTCAAAGAGTTTGTGAACTCTCATCGATACCGATGGAAATTCAAGTAGCTGAGATAAAACTCTACTAATGCAAGATCTATTAGAGCACAGCTCTAACTATCAGAGGAGTATAAAAGTCTCTTCAAGATCTAAAGTCCCCTGGATACCCGAGATACATTGGACTTATCTCTGCCCCATCCTCTTAAGTTGGTCATTATAAAAAGTCTTGTTAAGGAGTTCGGACACTGGGCACAAAAGAAGGTTGGGAGGGAGGTCGGAGAAGAGATAGAGATGGCGGATTATAATGGCTCTAATTTTTCCACGGTCCGAGGGAAAACTCGTTCAGACAATGGCTCTGGAGATAGATGCCGATAAGACTCATTAGTGGGAGGAGCTCAACCGTGATCCGGGAGGGGAGGTCTGTTCGTGGCCGGGCATCCTAGATCTGCTTCTTCTTCTTCAACCAGGATGCTCCTCGTTATGTTTTACTGCTATTTGGTTATTAGAGGTGGAGTCGTTACATTTATGATTCAGTTAATAGTGGGAAAATATCACGTACGAGGGGAGAATTTTGTTTATGGAACGGAAGTAGTCGAAAGAAATGATAGTTAGGAGTAGAGCCATATAAGACATTACGACATAATGTACATAAGTGAGTAACAACTGGAATAATTGTCCAAAGTGTAACGACTTTCCCGAATTGAGACTGAAAGTAGCTGATACTTATTGTTAGTTAACTTTTTCAAAATATCAGAGTGATACATTCAAAGGTTAGGGATTCTAGTCCACGGTAATGGCCTCTTTTAATCAAATTATTTACATCCCTCTGAAACTTCGTTTTACAAATCTGTTTTACTATTTACAAAAATTTGTGTGTTTCAATCTTGAGATCGGTTAGCGTTCTACTTGAATTGTAAAGATTTCATCATAAAATAGTGGGAAAAAATGACCTACAAAAATATTAAGCCGTTTGGCGTAACCTACACCCCCAAATTATCAAAATAACAAGGTTACATTGGTCAAACGACCCAATATTTTTGTTGGTGGCATTCTTTTCTCGATTTTGTGATCAAATTATCTTTCGATTCAAGTGGGTTTTCCTGAGTTTTCAGCCCCGTTTCTAAAAAAAAATTGTAATTAAAAAAAATAAGATGAAGCTATTCACGAACCGTTAAACGGGTATTAATAATTTAATAAAATGGGGCTATAGTGCGGAATAATCACGTCATTAACTTACGAACATTGTACCAACCGCTTTGATATACTAGCAGTTCGATTCAGTGATTTTAAACATCTCATACTCAAGTAATAAGAATAAAAACAAATTACTGGTAACACACAGATTTCAGTAAAAATAATGGTTACATTAAAAAAAAAAAAAACAATAAGGTATGTGCTTTAGACCACACGATAGAAGTGAAATCATTAACAAGGCGAGATTAATGATATGAAATATAAATTATCAATAATAGCTCATTATAAATAGGATGAAATGGTGAACATTTCCCTCGCTTACAGTATTCAGGTCCGATTTTTAGTTTTTGAGATATTTTAATTCATATGGAACAAAACTTCAATTTGTCGACTCTAGCCGACTTTACCCGAGTGTTACACATCGGAAATCGGACGGCTCCGTCATATTCACTCTCCAAAAAAAAGTGTACAACGCGACTAAAGTAGTTTTTAGATTCCAAAAATGTTAAAAATCTATCGTTTTACTTACCTCACAGTGACCATCCTTTTATGTTTCTCCCTGTATTATTGGAAAATTCTTACTTGTTTGCATATAGGTGTGTTAAAGTTTTGTTTTATCTTGATGATGCCTTAATTGACGATACGTTGATTGGTTTTTATCTGGTATTTCAGAGTCTTGAGGTTTCATTTTGGAATTGTCTAATTATGTTACATCTAATTATGTCTCATATTTGTTTACTGAGGGATGATCCTTTTGTTCCAATACTGGAACTTCACTTCATGGAGGCTTTCAGGAATGTTTTTAGGGAAAATCGCACATTGGATTAAATAAACATACAACTTGGAGTAAATAAGCTTTAAAAATTGTAAAGAATATTCAGTTAAAATCATATTAATGTTTCATTTATATTATTTACTTATTTCAAAAGCGACCATCCTTTTTTTCTCAGTGTTTTGGAAAAAATCTTACTTGTTTGCATATATATGTGTGTTAAAATAGTGTTTTTCGCTGATGATGCCTTAATTGACAATACGTTGACTGGTTTTTAACCGGTGTTTCGGAGTCTTGAGATTTCATTTTGGAATTGTCTAATTATGTTACATCCCATATTTGTTTACTGAGGGATGGTCCTATTGTTCCAGTACTGGAACTCGACTTCATAGAGGCTTAGTAAGATTTCCCGATGTTTCCATTTTCTTCGGTAGCCCCTTTCAATAGATTCCTCCGAATGGTATGCCAGTGATGTTGCATTAATAGACCCTTAGCTATTATTCAACATCACGCTTCCACTTAGAGCTTGAGAATGGAACTGGGCCACGTCAGTTCTTCAGTGCCTCTTGATCAGATCTTCGGCGGATCCCTTTGTCCTGTTGGGACCTCCGGATTGGAAGAGTTCCACCGAACTCAGGAGTAGGTCATTGGCGAGGATAATCCACGGTTGCTGCTAGCTCTTTTTAAAGAATCATTGCAGATTGTTTTGTTAAATTCAGAAATTTATAATGTACCCCGAAAAGAGAAGTTCTAGCAAAAGGTCACGTCTTGTACGCATGTTTTCTAGAGAGGTAATTATTATGGGATAATTATAATAAAACATATTAAATTGTTTATATTATATTTCTTTAATTCTTACTAAAGTTTTTGCAACTAAAATTTATATGATTTTACCAGTGTTTGAAATCTATAAATAAAAAAAAATCAAATCTTATAACAGTTTTATAAATTATTCGATAATTTTTATTAAGAGCAATTTTTATTTTTGATCATAAGTGATAAAAATCGTATTCTGATCATTAATTTTTTAATACATTTTTTACAATTAACAATAATCATAATTCTTTAGTAATACTTTTATTATACTTATTAGACTTATATTTTATTACCTTACTAATTAACTGCTAGCATAATTTTTCAAAGATCTAGAGTTCTCCACATATATAATTTTATCCATTATTTTATATGTATATGTATATATATATATATATATATATATATGTTTGTATTCGAAAAACAAAATTAAATTAGACCAAAAAAATAAATAAAATTAGACCAAAAAAATCCAGTTTTTGTATTATATGTGCTTATTAAATATTAATGAAATATGTAATTTGTGATGAAATCAATGTTTTGATTTAAGATACATAAAGTTATTATAGTTGAGAAAAAAAAAATTACCTGCTCGGTAGCCATGAAAATTGATGTTTAAGCAGAAGCACGTTGGTATCCGTGACATTAATTTGTTTACCTCATGCATGGCAAAAACATGTTTAATATTATGCAAATGACATCTCGACTTACATTCTCATTTCATCTCTACGTTATATAAACTGTTATTATAGATTCAAATCATTTAATTAATTATATATTCATTAATTCTATTGTTAATAAAATAATAATTAGGCTATGTAACTGCTAAGTTTTTTTTATGTCAACGATTTGTCATATTATTTGTATAATTAACGATGAGCTTGACAATTAATTTAGTTTTTTTTTTGTTTCAGGTGAGGATTTTGATGGAAATGTAGCTCTATTGTAAGTAAAAATTTTAAACAACTTCTGGGACGATTTAATGAAGACAGTATTCTAAACACATGACTGATGTTAAAAAAAAATTCCAATATAATTATAAAAATAGAATTCAGTCGCTGTATGCATTTTTACATGAATTTCTATAATTTTGAAAAGCTTGGATATTTTCTGAAGCAGTATAGAGAAATTGGTAATAGTGATTTTAATAAAAGTTACTGTCATGACAGAAAGTAGCTATTTATAACTTAATACTCAAGGTTAGCGGCTAAACGATAAGGAAGGTGAAAAATAACACAGCTAACAGGCGTCTAGTCTATCTCAAGGTTCAGTTTTCTACTCTTTGATCTTGAAACTTGATATTTATTCAGAAAAGAAAATAACCTGATATTTTTTAACCGAAAAATCAAATCAGATGAGCTAAAAGGAAAATAACAGTGTCAAAAAGATATCTGTTTCATGATTAAAAATCCATTCCTAACTGACAGTGTTGCCTCTTTACTTGCTCACAATAGCGTCGCATTATAATTAAAGTGTAAATTTTATAATTCGCTTACCTCTCAGTTAGCTCCTAATTAAATTTAATTAGAATTAAAGCATTTATTCAATTTCATGTGTTTGTTTATTCATACATTTTTAGTTTTAGTCTTAGTTGTTTAGCCGGAAGGGATCTGCCCACAATCTCCACATCGTCTGCGTATGCAAAAAAATACTATGTAAGACGGTTGAATTTGTCCTGATGGCGCGCCCAGCTTTTTCAAAGATCATATTAAAGAGTTTGGTTGCTTTTGTGTCTCCTTGCCAAATTCCTACCTTTCTCTGGAACTCCTTGGACAATAATCTATGCAACTTCACCCTGCATCTTTTATCTTCCATTGTCATTCTTATTCTTATCAACCTGGTCAGTTTCCTTGAAACACCAAAGGATAGGAGATCTCCGAGCAATGTTAACCGGTCCATTGAGTCGTAGTTCTGTTTGTAGCCTATGAAAAGATGATGCAGATTTCTCCAGTACATGACAAACTGTGTATGTTTTGTCTATTAGAGACCTTCCTCAAACAAGAATTATTATATTATATTATTAAAAGATATAAGATAACTACTTTACATGATGTAAGAACATAATAAAAAATGTACTAAAGTGATTAGGCACCAGGACTTAAAATGTAAATAATAAGTTTTTTTTTCTAGATCGAAGAAAAATACCTTTTATTGACAACTGAATGGACAAAGTTTCCAAAAGAAAATTTTAAAATGTCCATCATTGTTGTTTCCATAGTGCTCTTGAGATCAATCTGTTTCTACCTTCCTACTAGCAGTTTCGCTGTTAGATTTATTTTATTTTTTTAACTTATTTATTGAAAAATATTACAGTCTGTCTCAAGGACATTTATAATAGTGTTCAGAGATCATATTCACACTCTATGGACAATAAATAAAATATATTATACAGAAAAATAATATATATACTATAAATAAGAATAAAATAATCTAAAAATAAATAAATAAAAAGAACACACATACCAGATTAAGTTGAACATTTATGTTATCTTATCTTTATCGGTATATTTATAGTTAAATAAAGATTTTAGATTTTTTCTGAGATATTTCTGTTAATGGTACCGACCCCCTTTCAATTACTAGAACGATTGAATTTCGGAGTGTCCATCAATTGTGCAAAAACGTGTTTTTTTTAACTGGGGATTATACTAGCATAATTGAATAAAAAAGTGTTAAATATTAAAGTGTTAAATAAAAAAGGTGATCCTAAAGATTCTAAATGCCGAACGGAGAAGTTTATAATAATAATAATAATAAGCTCGACATAAGCCAAAAAAGATAATGAATTTCTTAGCTATGCTCGTCACTGGTGCGCTTACCCTAATAATGTTTTACATATATTATATATATATACTTCACATAGTACTTATTTGATATCTTATTGTAGTATGGTTGTAATAATTTTTGTTCGATTTATTCAGCTCTGATGAAGGCCTGAAACTTTGGCCGAAACGTCGGCTCATTTTTTTATTAATTCGTGTTTTTCACTGTCATTGCAACCCTCAAATTCCAAACCAAATGAATTTAATTAATTGAAACATTTTAATTCAATTAATATCCTCCATATTCCCTTTCAGTTAAAATTTCCATATTTGTTTGTTGAGATAACTAAATGGTCCAATCGTAGCAGCCGCCGAAATATTATCGCGGAGGTAGGGCAGGTGTAACTGAGAGAGTTAATTGTGCCGGCAACATTAATGGATCAGGGACCCAGATAATGGAACTCAAGAGGATGTCGGTTGTATAAATCTTAGTTCTAGCTGGAGGGTTAGTTGTTCCGGATTTCATGGATATTATCTTATAGCTATAAATATATACTGATATGTTAAACATAATTTTATGAATAAAAAAATTATGAAATCAAGACATGATTAAGATTATATACACATGTAAACATATAGATAATAAATAGATTAAATAAGAATTATTAAGAACAGAAGAGTGTGCCTAACAATAAAATATGATAGGAGTGACTAGTAAAATTAGGCATATTTGATAAATATAGTGTAGAAATAAAGGCTTAATGGGTGATAGATAGTCATGAGTAGTTTTTAAGAGTTTTACTGCTAACGTTTCAACCTAAGCTTGTGCATCATCAGGCCTGATTTATGACAAGTTTATGAAATTTATGACGTCAGAGATATAATATGATGGCTGTCTACCTCACCGCGTTCTGAATCCGTGATATGTATAACAGTCGGCTAACTTCTCTCAATAATTTACTCAGTTAAAAATTTCTCTTTTTGTTTCCTTATTGTTAGATTTGTTTAGATGTGATGTTCGGTTGAAGAGATAAGGAACCGTATAAAGCTCAAAGCCTTAAAGTTATTTGAAATTAGTTAAATTTAATGTTATTATCTTTTTAAATAAAAAAAAAAAAAAACCTTTGGGAAAACTCTTTTCGCATTCGTTCCGATAAAATATTCGATGGATGTCCGACAAAGTGTAATGACTCTTTATTAGCCGGATCTAGGTCGGCTCTAAATCAAAAGAGCAAATTCAAATTGATCGCTCCTCCATTGGGAACAATCACAGAGTCTAGTTTAATAGTGTTCCTTCCAATTATAGGACGTATAAATAGCAATATGCTCCTTAAATTCATTCCATCAGTCCTAAAGTAATATGAACAATTATAAAATAATGGGCAATAGTTTCTTTTATTGTAATTAAATCAAGTAAGCTAGTTACGCAACTGCCAGTTGCGCCACTTGGGTTTTAGATGAAATCTTTTCTTCAATAAAAATATGAAAATGGATTTGATTATATAGAAACGAAAAACAGTTGCAAGGCAAATAATACAGAAGGCTACAGTTATCGAATCGCAGACATAAGACGAAATCGTGTTATTTATAATAATTTTTACAAATGGATCGTTATATACTGGATTGAACTATAAATATATGTGTATACTACAAGAGTTAATATCAGATCTACTACAAGAGTATGACATTATCATGAATCTAGGTCTCCTGGCAAGAGTACGACTACAAGACTGTAACTGCAAGATTTGTCCTGAGGACCTTGGGGGTAAATACACCCAACAATAGTAGAGGAGATGAAGGAAGTTATTAAGAATTGATATCTCATCCATTAATATTGTTACGAGGTCTGTGGGAAAGGACCTTTTTCGAAATTTGTTCTTGTGATTTATGTTTTGATGCGGAGGTCTAGTATGTCCTGTATGTGCTTTTAAATAACTTGTCCTTAAATCAGAGATAGCCTCTTCATTAGAGCTTGGGAATCTTCAATACAGTATATCTACAATTAGCACATTAAATTAGCTCAATTGTTTAAATGAGTCTCAAATTTATTTTCTTGCAATAATGGCCATAGAATGACCCCACGTGTACATACTATTTCTGGGATTTCTTCATAGCCCATAGTATCTTCATCTTATCATTTATCTCTCTCTTTCGCTCTTATGTCCATTTTTCTCATCTCTCCTCTTCTTTTGCACAACAAATCTTGTTATTTCTTA